GAGGGTGTGTCAGACTCTTACCTTAATATCTGTGTTCGACACAATATGAACCATTTGAATTGTTGAATACTTAGCAGCAAAAACCAGTGAATCCTTACTTAATATTATAAATCGGAAAGTGAGTTTGTTTGTTTGTTCCGCTTTCACGCCGTAACGACTTAACCGATTGCTTTGAATTTTGCAGACGTAAAGTTAGAACTCCGGATTAAATAATAGGGTACTTTTTATCCCGGAAAAATTTGATATTCCCAAGGGAAAACAAAAGTATTGGTATAGATGGCGCTATATGTATTGGTATATGTCACATAGGCTACTTTAATTATCCTTTTGTGACGCGAGCGAAGCCGCGGGTAAAAGCTAGTCTAGAATATTTCTGGTGTCTGTAGATATAGGTACATATGTCTGAAATTAAGATAAGCGAACGCCATTTTAATGCTCTACCAGCTCCGACGTCAATAGAAACGTGATTAATATTATTGAATGTTGTTTGTTAACAAATAGTCTGCCTAATCCTAATAATGCCCATTACGTTATTATTACATAACTCTGGATAGGCATTATGCAGACAAGAAGGTTCAGAGTTGCTGAATATCTTAGAAAGTATTAGGTCATACTCGTAGATGATGGCCCATACCAGGTGTTGCACCGTGGGTGCTCCGGGGTAGATCTATTATCCTTCCTCTTGTCTTTGCCCATGCAAGAACGTTGTAGAAGCGGTGGGGATGGTGGCCGCCGAGGAGGTTTTAGTAAGCTGCAGTCTTTTTCTTAAAAAGTTAGGCGCCTTATGAAGATTTACCAAGGTCGACTACCTTAAAGATCGACTTTGTGTCGATCTTGATTGCATGTGTATGGAAAATAGTGCTTACATAAATACAAAACCTAGGCTTTTCCCCCACTCTAGAATTTCTCTGTATCGTATAGGTGAATGTGTAAAAACAGCTGCTTAGGTAAGTTTTTAAAAATGTATAACAAAACATGTGTTTGCAAACACAATTTTGAAAGAACATCTGTTTATACGCGTGCAGACGTAATTACAAGTAAATGTTTAATTTATAATAATAAACAATCTTATTTGTAATTACAGTTAACTTAATTAATGAGTCTTTAAAATTACATTCTGCATATTTTTAGCAAAGTACTTAGTTACTTTACAAAAACCGCAGGAACTACTCAAGTTATTAGGTTTTCTCAATAAGAACGCATTAGGAAATTGAAAAAGCAATTATGTATATCTGGATTATTAAGTATCTGGGTTATGTATATCTGTTAATACTTATTTCATACATATTATTTATAGAGATCAGATAAAGTTACATTTTTACCATTAAACATTTTTTTATCATCCACCATTCCACCATTAAACCGTTAATAAATCCATTATTTTAAAATGAATGTATACTCTGAAAGCAGTGTTCTGGCACAAAATAGTGCTTATGATTATCTCAATATCCTGTGCTTTGGAGAAACACTAACATCGTAACAGATTGGTTAGAATAGTTGAGAGCTAGGTAGTTGCTGATGCAGTAAATCATAGAAAATTACCACTTTACCTGCTTTTAAACAACGCAGGTGAAGTTATTTATAAAACCAATAACTAATAACTAAATAAACCAAGTGTGGGGGTGTGGCTTTTTGGAATCCGTTACGTAACTTTAGCACAGACATTAGTTTCGAGTGTTTGTGGCAGCGATTGCTAATGTCTCAGGTTTTCAGGCGTCGCGTCTGACGAGGGAAACTATGGTATTTGCTTGAGAATTTAAATTCTCATACCTAATAATAGTATCAGACACATCGAGTACTTAAAAACTTTTCATATATAATTATTTGGACTGCCTCGTTGGCCGAGTCGTCGCAAGTGCGACTGTGCCGGGCAAGGGGTCTCGGGTTCAATTCCCGGGTCGGGAAAAGTATTAAGTACTGGGTTTTTTTATAAATTCTCAGTAGTAGCACAGAGTCTGAAATTGTACCCGGTATATGACAATAGGCTCACCCCCTATTACATGGGACTCATAACATAAATAGTGAAAGTGGGTGTTATATTGTACAGTGGCATACCATAATATGCACATCTGCCTACCACTTCGGAGATAAAAGGCGTGGTGTTATTTATATGTTATATCGAAAGATAAAGATGTGTGTGATAATCTAAATTATTATGTTTTCGGCCTACTCGACTAATTTCAAGCTCAGCTAGAGGCTCATATTCATGAGCAGCATTCCGCGCCACACGACGCGGCGACTGTCGCGCTGCTGTGTGATAATATTATCTCAATCGATTCAAAGACTCCGCAAGAAAACGATAGTCAAGTAGTAATTAACTCCATCCGCCTTTAATTACGATCATCTCACTCCCGCACCGGAAACAATGTTGTAAGCAGTTGGACAACTCTTTCCGCTTTCAAAGTAACGTAATCCAGACTATTCAGACTTACTTTACGTGTTTGTTTATCCTCAATGATTGACTTACAATTCATGAAGTACATTGTTTTTTTTATTTCCAATTTATTAGTTTGTACCTGATCGATAGCTCGCTGAAGAAAGATCTGTCTACGTCTACGAATACGTATATTATGCTCACGTATACGGGAAATGAGCGTTTACCACGTTTTATTATTTACCTAAAAGGAAAAATATTTGCAAGGACATATTTATTACTCCACCAAGTGAAACAAGTGAATTTATTTCTGCAAATAGGCTACAAGGCAGCATTTTTACACTTCAATTTCATCAAGCGAACGATGAAGCCGACATTTCCTAACTGACTACTCTGAGAAGGAATGCCGAAACACTCAGAGGTCCGTCTCTTTTAAAGTCCAGACAACTATGTATAAAAGAATATGTGTGAGAACCGTGCAAGCTTTTTCTGTAATCATTTTGAGGAAAGAACATGGTGTTCTTTCCTCAAAATGATTACAGAAACGATTGATTACGTCTATCTATTCTCGATACTAGGCAAGGTACTACCTACGTGTAGGCGGGTACTGATACCTCCCTGACGTATCCACGTGCGTCATCCGACCTACATTTGATTCATAACAGTCGCACGCACAATTTTAAAGTTCCATTTATTATCTGACTGACCACATGTAAGATGAAAAGTCTTAACCTTAGGCCGCCGTGTACGGTGTAAGTAACAGGCGATAGCGATTTCTGTTAAGCTTTTGCAAAATGTATGGTGGAATTTGATAACGGTAATATCGATTACCAAATACAGTTTTGTGTTTAAATTGTGAATAACAAGCATAATAATTTACGTAGCATTTAGGCAATTTGATCAAATCTAGTGTTTATCGTTCTCTAATTAAATAAATAGTTGATTTATTGGAATAAAATCTTAGGCACATTTTCGCGAAGTTTACACATTTTAATCAGAACTATTTTATGTAGGTTGATACAGTTATCATCTGAATCAAATCTTACATAGCTACCTGAACCCTACAACCCTTGTATCTAAACTATCCTAATAAAACAAAACATCAATATTTGTTCAACATCTCGAAACGACACGGATCACTTGCATCTGGCGTCACAGATTCAATCCATCGGCTGTTACATGTGTGCATCTGTCCTGCACGCTGGGCAGAGGGCCCGAGCCAAACAAAAATAAACCCATTCATGATGGGTCAGTACCCGACTCACAAAGGGCCCACTGTGCACAATGAGCGGTTGTGCCTGGCCCACTTCATTTTTGTTTATTAGACTTCAGTAAAGGCTTTGTAAACAACCTTTTCATCAGTACCCACTGGTTCAAGTAATTGTGTAAATTGATCGCTCTGTATCACTAATTATCTTGTTACAAAATGTTAGAGTAGTTTCCTATTTTCGTCACCATTCTACTAGTTAATTGAATATGACGAACATGTTACATCGGAACTACATTTACAACGGCCTCACATGTCAAAAGTTCAAAAAGATCACATGAAAGTAAACTTAATATAGTTTCGAATGTTAATAGAGATACAGTCACTGATGTAATAATGATTTTTAACATTAAAAGGCAATCGTAATCTATATGAAATCTCAAGGGCGAGGAATCAAAGGAGTTCAAACGGGCCGCAGTGGCTTCCGCGCCGTCCTTCACCGGCTACACCATTTAATGATTTATCAATCCGTGGTACCATAAACAGTATAATAACAAGTTAAGCCACAAATTGTTATCTAATCCGAGGCGTGCTGGTAAACAAACTGCTTTCCCACGACAGATAACCAGAGTGCTGTGAAGTGGTGATTACATTATGAAAGCGAAAAGTAAATGTTATCAACTTAAGTGGAGACACTTTGTTTCATCGCGTCGTGGGTCTGCTGGTGTCTCGTAAAACTAAAGGACTTGTGACTTGTATTAATGTTATTAATGTGCACTGCTTGTAAAGTTAATTCACTGTCTCAATGTAGGGTTACTAGAAGACACTCATTTCTCAGAGTAATTTTATTTTAGGACATTCTTGAACTTCGACTATTTTCTTTACATGGAATTTTCGTTGATGTCCTCTTACTGACTACGTTTGTTGACACCTTGGCATTGGCAAATATTGCTGCTCATCAGCCTAAAGATGGCTCGGTAATATGGCTCAGCAAAAGAATTGCGTAAATATCGTAACGAAGATAAATGATCAGCAGTGACTTATTATCATGTTACCTTCAGTTTCCACATTACAGTAACACAAGTAATTCATTAACCTTCCCTTTGTTACCGTAATTTACTTCTTTGTATATTTACTCGCAAAATCCACTAAGACCGGAACGTTCCAAATGTTTTGTTAAAATCCACGTGTGGAAAGGTTAATTTTACTTTCTCTTGTAGTTTGTTTACCTTTTTATATCTAAAAATAGTTGAACCGTGTTCGTAAATATAACCTAGATCAGTTTGCCGGTGTACTGTGTAAACTGTGTTACATTTGAATGGTTCAGATAGCAGATCAAACTACTCCAATCTTTCTTCATTACATTTTCAGCTGTATTGTGTTACAATAAAGTCTAAAGTAATGCCTGTTCTGTTTCAGATACACTTTGATCGCGTACTACGACATGTACTCGCAAATATACACGACTACTAAGATCTGGGTACAGCTGCTGCTCATATGGCTCGTGTCTTTCGGATTGATGGTGAGTTTTAACTGTCTATAACTCTCTTAAGATTAATAGGAATCCAAATTTCCTTTACGTTGTTAGTATCTTACATCTTAGAGGTCTACAATAATATTTCTTGTCTTTCGTTTATTCATAACATTTTCACGCAACACACGTTCTAAAATTCTGTTACTAAGTAGGTAGTACCTAGCTCTGTTTTCAAATGCAAGAACTGCCCTCACTGAAAGAAATGCAAGAGCTGTCACTCAGACTAATTGGCTTCCAATAAAAAAGAAAATAAGTACAAAATGTGTTCGCAGTTTATGTTCAAAGTTCAATAAGCATTACATCGTCGAGTGCATGTAATGAGATTTTATCTTAAAATTACAAGCGATTTTACTCTCATTACGCTCTCAAACGAATAAATATACAAGAATATTGTAACAAATGGTTCCTATCAATCATTAGCGGGCGTTTAAACAGAATTTCTGGGTATTTTTATAACAAAAACAATTGCATCACATTGGAATCAAAACAGAAATCAGTCTATCAGTCGACGCGAGCTTTCATCAACTTTTCGCTTGAGTTTTGTTATATTGGAACATTTTACTAAAGCAAAGAGGAAACGTACTTAGTATTACTTGGATTTTACGATTCAATTAGAAAATATTTTACTATAATACAGTGAAAAAACTGTGACGTGTTGTAGAGTTCACCCAGGCCACTCATAAATTTTTGATGTGGGCAATTTTTGAAGGGTTTTAGTTTACAAGCGATTCTATGTCAAAGCATTACCGTTATATCTCATATTTGGCAACACTAACTAATATAAATAGGCACGCAAACATTGATAATGTACACAACCAGGCTATGATTGAAACCACAAACGTAACGCGTGATACTAACAAAATATATAAACCAAACTACTTACGTAGCATCTGTTAAAGTTCAAAGTAATAAAAAAGTAAGGGATCCGGAACAAAAACTACATACATTTTATTACATTATAGTACAATAACAAAATGAAATTATTACCGGAATCTAAAAAGATAATAATTTATCCGTTTCGTGGAACACACACAACGCTACCATTGAGGTACAGATGCAGGGATATATTATAACAAAATAACAGACGTCTTTACTGCCCAAAAAATAAGGTATCTTCTCGTAGTACAACTGTTTAGTGTAATGTTGCCAGCCAAATAAATAAGCAATGGTAGAAAGCTAGATTAGTTCGTTGCACTTCCACATCGTTGATTGTCCTGAATTAGTTTATCCTCTGCTACATGTTGCGTTGTGCTAATTAATAGTTCGTGTGATGTAACATGTAACTACTGGAATGTGTTCCAAAAATTACGAAAAGTATAGTTAAGTGGAAGTACAAAAAGAGTGGTATACTGGTATACGAATGATATCGCATATCGCTGTTCTCTTATAACTTGCACCACAAATAAAACGCTGAACTAGGAAGCTATTCATATTTTGCTAGAACAAATCGTTGTTTTTTTAAATCGACACCTTAACTCAGAAATAAATCTATAATACACAATGTACCTATAAGTAGGCATCTGTCTATTGCGCCCTAGAAACGCATTTCCTCTATACACAATAGCAAGCAATTAACATAGTAATAAAAACAAAAATTCCAGAGTCATATCATTCATCTCAAATTAAACCATTTAAAATTGAAAATGGTTACATGCATCATTTAAATGAAGCTAGTAATTTGGAAACAACTCGTGAACCGGCAGTTTAGTCCAATCACAAATAGTCCGGGACACCACTCAATGAATGCAAGTGTTACTTGACTATAAATTAACACCCTTCTGAATTATTCAACACGTTATAAGAACCCGCATACAATGAAATGTTCAACTCGTTTATTATTATGTTTGGGTAATTTTGGAGCCTATGGGTCTGAAACGATGTTTATGTCGATAATGAACTCGCAGTCCTATCTACAGGCGTGTCGGTCGCGGCGTATCATCCCAATTTTATTTTGTTCACTCAAATCAGAGTTACAACGAGAAGAAACTCGGTTAAATAGGCGTATCTAAAACCAACTTCGATGTATCCGCAGGTACCACCTCTCCTCGGCGTTTGGGGTCAACTAGGGCTGGACCCCAGCACATTCTCGTGCACGATCCTCCCCAAAGACGGCAAGTCTCCGAAGAAGTATCTCTTCGTGTTCGGTTTCGCGCTCCCTTGCGTGGTGATCATCGTGTCGTACTCCTGCATCTACTGGCGGGTGCGGCAGAGCAAGCGCAAGCTGGAGGGACGCAGGTGTGTATGTGGGTGAGAATCTACACGTCACTAGGTGTGACTAATCAGGTGGTGGGTTCTGGGACTTAGTTTTAGTTTTGTTGCGCTCTTCACTTATTTATTGATTGAATTTCAAGCCCTCTTAGACATGGTTCCTTTCTAGTAAGCTTAAGGATGTAAGCCAGGAAAGTACCATTCATTTTTTATAAACTGCAAGGCTCATGTTTGATTACTGTCTCACTTGATGATGAGATGAAGCAGTCATCTAAGCCATAATTTGTTATTCAATAATAAATATTGTAGGGTGCAACTGATGACGGTGTATGTGTTTTTTAATAAGCTATAATTATAATTTGTACACTTTTTTTATAAACATGCAACTTTGACTACTATGTGCGAATTATTGAGAATGTGAATTTATAAGAATGTTTTATTTCCTACAGTAAACTCTCCGGACAAACAGCCAAAGAGAAAGAAGAGGACTCCCGGCTGACGACGCTGATGCTGACCATCTTTCTGTGCTTCCTGGCGTGCTTCCTGCCACTAATGATCATGAACGTGGCGGACGACGGCATCACGTACCCCTGGCTGCACATCATCGCCTCGATTCTCGCCTGGGCGTCCAGCGTCATCAACCCTCTCATCTACGCAGCCACCAACAGACAGTACCGCGCAGCTTACGCCAATCTACTAAAATTTTGCAAAAACAGCACCGTCAACAGGCGGACGACGTGGGGCAGCAGGACGATGGCCAACTCATCCAACTCACCACATTACGCAGACAAACGTAACCACATGAAAGATAAACCCGCCAACTTATGAATCAACCAGTGACATCTGCCGGCCACTGGCGGAAACTGCGTTCTACGTTTTAAATCAACATGTCAATGTTGCCCAGTAAAAATCGAAAAATCGTTGTGAATCGATGTTCGTCCAGAATAATTATTTCGTTTAAATTCTATCAGTGTTTCTATTAAGAATGGGAACTTTGTATGCGATGTCTTATTATGGGGTTAATTGATATAAACAGCGACATTCATTTGCATTAATTGTCCGCTAAGTAATGTGAACCCGATTCTGCATTTACATTTTTATGAATCTCATTAACAGTGCACCTACCTACATATAGGTTGATTGCAATAAAAATAAAGCTGTTCTAAGAACCGGGTCTTTGTACAAAATTCTTATAATTACAAAATAATTGGGAAATACACAAGAGCACGTGTTATAAGACAATACGATGCGTACACAGTTGACACCTATATTATATTTTTGTAAATATTAATTATAAATAATTGTATATACTATAAAACCAATGGCGACTACTTTTACTAGCTTGTAATGATGCTTACCATTTAACTTAACCAAAGTAAAATATTACCTTTATTTTATTAATATAATGTTTTGTACGATAAGAGAGTAGATATAAATAATATTGTTTAATAATAAGAATGCATTCCTTTAGGTAATAATTTATGTTTAATTTTGTACGTTCAGTTCTGTAAGATTGGGTCCAGGCGCTAAATGATTGATTGTAATTTGGTTTGTCTGCATCCGCCTCAAGTTGACTTGACAATTATTTGATGCGATCATTCATTTATTAAACAGATGAAGGATAAAATTATGTACTGAACACATGATCAAGCTTATTTAATCAACATTAAAGAAGTTGTGTTAATATAGGTCTTTTTATGAATGTTTGTATTAGAGGTCTACACTTGTAATTTAACTAAAATTGTTTTGATTTGTCAAGCAACAGTAGCAGTATCAATATCAACTTTACATATGACGAAATGTTAATGGAGCGTGGCGTGTGTAGCGGCGATCCTGCCAAATAATTGTCATGTTTTGTAGTAGCAAAATATTATAATTATAATAGTTCTTTTGAAGACTGATACGTAAAAGTCAATTAGGATAAATAGCCCCTCAAACATAGTTAACGTTCGAGTTACATTTATATTGACGTTGTTATGTCTTAATAAACATTTTCGAGTTGCAAAGTTACTATTTATTAAACCAGAATAATTTCGAAGATAATATTATTATCTAAATTAACGAAAAATTTAAAGATTTCGCTTAAAATAATTTATTGTATTGTAATTAGCATAGATTTGTTATAATAAGTGAACCAAAGGTAAAATAAATAAATGTATTTATATAAAATGTTTTGTTTTTACCTTCCCGCTACCCTGATTGGATCCCGCATCGACGCAACACAACAAATGTGATGAGAATAAATTTTATCCACATCTAATCTAATCTATCCGGCAACGCACCTGTGACTCCTCTGGTGTTGCGGTTGTCCTTGGGCGGCGGTGATCGCTTACCATCAGGTGATCTATCAGTTCAAGACATGGTCGCGAAAAAGTAAGAAATAAAACAGAGAAAAATCAAAATGTCTCAAAAACTACAGGTCCTAGCCAAAAAATAACCAAACTCTCGAAACCCTTTAGGTGTAATAATGATATATGTTCTATTTGATGGACAGGGTCACAAAAAACCCTTGAATAGATAAATCGAAACCATGAGGTAGGTAGGTAGGTACATAGACTTATTTTTTAATTCCCAAATGAGACAGCAAGTTTTACCCCCTCCCTGAGGACACGGTGGAACACACAGTGGGGGATTGCCCTGCGTGGGCTGAGCACCACCGTGCCCTCAGGGACGTGATCAGCGATGGCGACTTCTCGCGTCCGGCCCTAGTGCGGGTCATGATGCGGAGCGAGGGGGACTAGGATGCCGTCTCCTCCTTTTGCAGAGCAGTCATGCTAGCTAAGGAGGAGGTGGGACGCGTGAAGCAGCGAAACCCTGCCTCCTCGCAACCCAGCCATTGCGAAGGACACTCGGGGCGTTGGGGATCGCGTGACGATCTCCGATCACCACGTATGGGACTCGACAGGGCTGATGCCGATGCGGAGTCGCGTTGAACCTAGCAGGTTACCGGGGCTCCGGCTCGAAGCGCAGGAGAAGGAACAGGGTGGTTTTCAGTCAGTAAGAGTCTGACACTCCCTCCCGCATCACCCAGGCGGGAGCAGACATACGATGATTTTTCCCCTTAAAAAAAGTTTTACCCCCTGAAAATAACCCTAATGGTTCTGAAGTCCTTAAATAACCTTAATAACCCCCTGAAAATAACCTTAATAACAACAATCGATAACGCCGAAAGTCATAAAAAAATTTTGATTGTGAACAGACCTACAACTCACAATTTATAACATGTTGATAATTATTATCCTGGAAAGCAAACTCAAACTCAAAAGAATTTATTTAAATTAAACCATTGTTTGGTACTTTTGAAACATCAACATATCTAAATGTGTATTTAAAAATAAAAAATGAGTACAGTCCAGTCATACATCAGAGTACATACCCGCGCCGGACTGGAGAATTTGGCTAAAGACTGTCTTAGTAGGATCTCGCAATGGGGCGAACGAAATCGCCTGACTTTTGCACCCAATAAAACTTACCTATTGCTTAAAGGAAATGTAAAGCTGTGGCCGTCTAGGTACTACTACAACGTTTTCGTAAAACGGAAGGAGTCTGTTTGCTATCTCAGTTTAGTTTTAGACTTCTCAAAAAGGAGGAGGTTATCAATTCGGCTGTATGTTTTTTTTGTGTATGTTTCGTGATTACTCCGTTTGTGGACAGATTTTGAAGATTTTTTTTTGTTGGAAAGGTGATCTGATGACTCTCGTTGTGGTCCCATTTCCACCAGGTCAGGATCTGATGATGGGATCCCATGGAAACCATGGGGAACTTTTCAAAATTGTATGAGTGGCGAAAGCGTTTGTTAATTTTTTGATATACTATTTGAAACTACTACAATTTAATGAAGGTATGGAGTTGATCTGATGATGGAGTCAAGATACAGTCGAGGGAACTTCTCGAGAATTTGTAGCAATGACCCCGTGTTTGGGCTTAAATTATTTGTATTGAGAAGATCTTTACATCTAAATTGGATGTAATTGTCATTAGGGCACTGATGATGAAGTAGTATGATAGCAAAGGGAACTCCTCAACGTTTAACAGCAGCTACCTGGGGGCTTACTCTTGAATCCAATTCCGATCGATCGACATTGGTATTGTGAAATTTCGTACTCTTGAGTTGCAACACTAGCGCCCATTACATCCGCATTGCGTGGATATTGAATGAACTAAATGGTATTGAGTTTGGCTTTACATTCCGTACTCTGAATGCTATTTTAATATCTACGATAGGGGTTGTATAGTTTTGACATTGGATAATTATTGAAATTTCATTGGATTGAAATTGCATTGACATTGAGATTGACTTCGAGAGTAAGCACCCTGGTGTTTGGGCTTGATTAATTTCAAGTAATAGGAACTTTACACCTAAGTGGGGTATGAATGCATGGTTGGTGCGGTGGCTGGGTAACCGGCTGCCGTACAACGTGTCGCGGGTTCGATTCCCGCACGGAACAATACTTTGTGTGATCCACAAATTGTTGGTTCTAGTCTGGGTGTCATGTGTATGTGAACTTGTATGTTTGTAAACGCACCCACGACACAGGAGAAAATCCTAGTATGGGGCAACGTTTCTTTTTAAAAAGAAAAAGAAAAAAAAAAGAGTATCATTAGGGGCCTGATGATGAAGGAGTATGATAGCTAATGGAACTCCTCAACGGCTGACAGTAGTTACTTGGTGTTTGGGCTTTATAGATATGTTTTGATGAGAACTTTACACCTAAATGGGGTGTGCTTGTCATTAGGGGCCTGATGATGAAGGAGTATGATAGCTAAGGGAACTCCTCAACGGCTGACAGTAGCTACTTGGTGTTTGGGGTTTATAAATTTGTTTTGATGAGAACTTTACACCTAAATTTGGTATGCTTGTCATTAGGGGCATGATGATAAAGTAGTACGATAGCTAAGAGTACTTATAAACGATTAATAGCTACTATTAACCGTTTACCTGGTATTTGACCTTGAATAATTTGTAATGATGAGAGCTTTACACCTACGTGGGATATACCTACGTAGTATACTGGGTCTATAAAGCCCTGACTAAAATAAAAAGCATAAAAATAAAAACAAAAACTCCGTATAAAAAAACCGACTTCGAAAACCAAAACCTAAAAACAAGCAAAAGGTTTAAACTAAAAAGCAAAAAATAAGTCATTAGTCATACGTACTTATAGGTTACCCACCCACTGATTATCACTGATAGGTATTACTTTTATAAAAATTCTTTTATGTTCATATCTGAAATATGTTAGTGTAATGAAGTCGGTGCACAAGCCCATAACAAAATATAACTTAGGTTAATGGTCATGGTTATAATCTGTCATAAAATTGTACACAGCACGTAATATAAAGTATTTGTTACGGGTTTAAAGAATTTTTTTTTTAATCTTCATACATTAAATGTGGGAGAGCCATGCTTCGGCACGAATGGGCCGGCTCGACCGGAGTGATAACACGGCCTCACTCCGCCTCCCAGAAAACCGACGTGAAGCAACGCTTACGTTGTGTTTCGTCGTGTGAGTGAGGTTACCGGAGGCCCAATTATCCTCCCCTTCCCCAATCTCACCAATCCCTGAATCCCCAACGATCCTCAAACTCCTAATACCCAAAAGACCGGTAACGCACTTGTAACGCCTCTGGTGTTCCAGGTGTCCATGGGCGACGCCGATTGCTTACCATCAGGTGATCCGTCTGCTCGTTTACGCATAAACCATAAAAAAATACATACAAATAGCATAATAATATACATACATAAAAAGGCATAGGCCTAAAAGTTAGCTTGGCTCACTACTTACATATTATAAACAAATTAACCAAAAATATAGATTTACTCACGTAAATATAATATTTTGAAAAGCTCTACTACATTAATTTCAAGTCACAATGGGGCTCGTCGTCATTTACGTGAGTAAACCGATATTTTTAGTTAATTTATGTGTCTCATGATAATTACTACACAAATATAATATATTATATTGTATTGAACCAACCCCACATTAACAGGAATTTCGAAAAGATAATTTTATTTCTTAGATATTCCATAATATTATTCCATAGACAATATTAATAATTCTAGCAAAATTCCACGAAGCCAAATATCAGATTTAAAACAAAATTGATTGTCAGATTGTCTATCATCGTTGACCACTTCCTGACAGTCTGTGAATTTTTAGAGAAATAAAAATCGCCGAAAAATGGCGAAAAGGATTTCACAAAGCGCTGTAAACTGGGCAGCCCTTGCGGAAAGGGTCCCGGCCGAACAGAAAGCTCATCTTGCAGCTTTCAAAATTAAGTCGGACTCTTACCTCCGAAGGTTAGTTTTGATCGATGGATTACATAATTTTCGTCACTGCGTTTTGGTTATTTAGTTTTGTGTTTTAGAGTTTTGGCCAACCCCCCTGAACCTCCAAAGATCAACTGGGCGGCTTACAAGAATGCTGTGCCCATCCCCGGTATGGTGGACACCTTCCAGAAGCAGTACGAAGCGTTGAAGGTCCCTTACCCCGCCGACACACAGACGGCTCAGGTTGACGCTCAATGGGCTGAAGTCAAGAAAGGTATCGAAGCCTTCATCCAGGAATCTAACGCTAACATTGCCAAGTAAGTGATAATTAATTAATTAATTGCTGAATTAAATTTTTATGTAGATAATTATCATTCTAAGATAAATAAATTATGAAGGTATAGCTTATAGTCAATGAACGTTATTTTAGTTTTATTCTGAGTTTAGCTTGCTCTTTAAGCACATTGTTTACTTAATTTAATACTCTACTCCGTTACAACTGGTTATTTAAAGTTGAAACTATTTATTAGACCCCAAAACCACTTCTAAAAGTAAATCAATACCTAATTAGAAATATGTTGGTACCTTAGTCAGTTTCAAGTAAGATATCTCTGAACTGATATCGAGGGGTAACAGACTATTTGGTTTAAGCGACATTTTGGGCGATATTGAATTATTATATCGACGGTTGAAAGGCTAATAGATCTAAGCGACATTTTTTGTGATATTGTTAAATACCTACATCACGGCTAAGGAAAATTCGCTGATTTCGAATATGTATTTAACTCAATTTCGCAAAAAAATGTCGCTTAGATCAATTAGCCTTTCAACCGTTGATATATATTCGACGAAGAAAAATTTGCTGATTCCGAATATATATATAACTCAATATCGACCAAAATGTCGCTTAAACCAAATAGTCCGTTACCCCTTGATATTGATTTAAAAATGAATTCTAGTTTATTACATTCACTTATTGGATCCTTATCAGTGTCATTGCAATAAATGTGAAAATGAATGTTAGGACAACACCCTCTTACTTAACCTTAATTTAATTTCAGCTACCAGAAACAAGTTAGTGAGATCAAGGCCCTCCTGCCATATGAACAGATGACCATGGAAGACTTCCGTGATGCTTACCCAGAAGAGGCACTCGACCCCATCAACAAGCCTACCTTCTGGCCACACACTCCTGATGAGCAACTCGACTATGTTGACCCTGACAAGCCAGCACATTCCGGTCACTAAGCCAATGAGATCAATTGCCTTTACACAGCTTTGCAGATAAATTGTTCATCATATATCAGTGTAAAGTGATAGCTGACAGTTTTGTGAAGTTCTGTTAAGGGGTTCTTAGCAAGTTGCAATCATGTTCTATTTATGTAGGAATAAACGAAATCTTTATTGATACTTTCTTGTTTTATTCTCAATACCTGTTTCTTGTTATCAATTTCAAATTATATATAAGTTATACAGGGTAATTTGTAATTGGACCATAATCTCATAGGGAGTTATAGAGCAGATCATTTCCAACTCCATTTTTGTCGAACTAAGGGATAGGCAGAAATGAACAGTTATTAAAATATTCAACTTTTAGTGTTAAATTCAAAACGACACCTATGGTTACTCCTGAATAAACAAAAAAGAAACATGCTTGTCCTAATTTTCTTTGTTTAGCTATTCCACTTTATTTTATAGTTCTAATCATCAAATACACAATAATAATATTAGGTATTTTAGACACCTACAGTGATCCTTGAATTGACGACAAATTCATAGAACATAGGATATTTTTTCAAGTTCGACTCAGAAATATGCTTCTCTAACACAAAAATTTACTATGACACTTTCTATAAAAAAACATATCCTAAGCTTAATTTCTTATGAGGTACACTACTTTCATATATGGACTAATGCCAAGTATAGTCTTATAATGAACCAAGGTAGTAAAACAACGAAGTTCAACTTACAAATTTACTTTTATTGAAATCCCATCACTTCTATCTGAATGGTTATTATTCACTTAATAATGTCTAATTGTGGAAATCATTAATTTTTGTCAAATCATTTCCGCCTATCCCTTCGTTTGATACAAATGTCTGTTCTACATCCCATACGAGATTATGGTCTAATTAAAAATCACTCCATATGTTATAAAAGTTTCTATATAAAATGTGTCGAAAGTGTCGCTTCAGAACAACATACAATAAAACAACAGCATTTTGTTTGATTTTGAACATTTATTCTCTGCAAATAGTAAATAAAATCCTCGGTACAATGTTGTAGTGGAGTAGAATGAAGACAGGAATGTTACATATTTGGAAAATGTATTAGTTAGCTCAAGTTTTTACTATTTATTGCTATGGTATAAGTTTTATTTTGAACTACAATGCTATACTTTAAGACACTTGATAGAGTGGCACACAAGTTACTAAGGGATAAATTCTTGTACTGATTTATAACGAGAATAACATGTAACAACAAGTTACAATAAATATAAAAATTTTGAAGCTCTAGTAAATCATAACTTAATTATTTGCATTTAAAATAAAATATAATCCATGTAAATAAGGCCTTGCTCATGTACTGCCGTATAATTCCAAAGGAAAACGTATACAATCTGTTGTCTGCTCTAAATACAATATGATAAGACTCTAATAACCTTATAGGTTCGATTTCAAGCCATCACTTTCACAGAAACTTCAAATAAAATAAATCTATTGTAATAATATTACAACTAGACGCGAGTGAAACGAAGCTATTCGTTTCTCATAAGTTAGCAATTGGGAGGGACCATTTTGGTGTTATCATTTCAAACCTACAAGCTAAGGGTGTTCAAATTCATATCAATGATTTATGTAATGTGAATCAACAACCCTTAATTACCATCAGGCATCACACTGTATAAATCAATGAAATATGGAACACCCACAATTAACCCTATGAACATCATTTCACATCACATCCAGTCAATCTTAGTCTAACTAATATATCTATTTCGCGGGGAACTTGGTGGCGGGCGGCGGCGGGGGCTGCGCGTACATGTTGTAGTAGCTGGTGGGCGGCGGAACGTTGAATGCTTGCTGCGACTGACTGAAGTTGTTGTACCCGCCGCCGGACTGGGCCTGGAACGACTGCGCGTCACTGCCACCACGGCCGCGTCCTCTGCCACGGAATCCATTATCCTGCCTAAAGTTGTCTCTACTACTATCTCGGTTGTAGCTTGAACGAGTATTGTATGGTCCCTGGTTGTTGTCGTAATCGTTGTTCGAGTCGTCCCATCTGGAATCTGCACGAAAAGTATGTTAGTTATGTGACAACTGCTGCATTTTTTTTAAGATTAAGGGTTTCTTGAGACTTGGAAGTCAAGGTTAACATTTATCTAAAAAAGAGTTGTTCTACTAACTTAAAGATATATTATCATATTAGACATATACATGCAGTCATGCACCTTTAAAACAAAACCTTTTAGGTACATAAATAACAAAACAAAAGGGTTCTATCTAAGACCACACACACAAAGTCATTATTTTGATAAACACACAATTAGTACTAACTCCTCTCCCCTCCGAAGCGTCCTCTACCGCCTCGTCCCCCATCGCGTCCCCGTCCACCGTCCCGTCCGCCGCGTCCACGCCCCCCGCGGTCGAACCGACCCTGGCTGTCATCTCTATCACGGTAACGGTTACGTCCTAGAAACAAACAAATTTAACAAATTTTAACAATATACAAAATACGCCTTGTATCAATAGACTGATTGTAGTTTCCACTTACCATATTTGCCTTTGAATCCCATGCCACACTGCGCCAGCTCCATGAGCTTAGGGTTCACCACTTGATTAGCTTCTTGTAAGACACACATCAGATCCTTAGCCTGCATACAATTTAATCAGCTTTAGTTTACAATTCCATATTTTTGATAACATTATGAAAGTAGAAGTAATAATTACCTTGGCGGAGTTATTAGGAGTGAAGAGAGTGTAAGCAGTGCCGGTGTTGTGCGAGCGACCCGTGCGACCGATACGATGCACATAGTCCTCCGAGTTGTTCGGATAATCATAGTTTATCACAAACTTCACGTCTTCCACATCTGTGTTGAAGCAATCGGTTAGCTTACGAAATATTGACTCTCACACAATCAATGTATGTATTGGACAAGAAGAAAACATGCTTGAGATGTGCATTCATACAAGTTTATGTAACCGCTAATCACAATTAATTTAACTTATCAATGCTTGTGTACCATAAGCTTCATTTTATAAAATGGTTGGATATACAATTTAACCCAATATTGTTTAGTTTGGTTCAATACGAGCGAACAATTTGAAATTTGAACCAAACTAAACATTAGATGTATATCAAACCATTGATGCTGGTAAGAGTAGACGTAGAACGCACACGTCAACAGTAAAGTCAGTGGATATTTACCTTGTGCATGAGGCCGGCTCGTCCGACACCGCTAAACTGGAAATAACTGTATTATGCCCGTCAGTCCGGAGTGTGCAGGCCAAGAGTCGGTGTGCTGACTTATGTTAGTTAGCGCCCTCTAACCGCGCGACTGTCAGTTGCGTAGGGCAGGCCAAAAGGCTTTTGCTTAAATCTCTCATGACAAATAACCAAGCATGTATTGCTCTAATTCGGTCTTACACTGTAATTATTCCCCATTTTTAAATGAATACCATGAAATATTTGGATAGAGCAAAATTGAAACCCCAAAAATTTAGGAATTACAAACTCCTAAGACCATTAAGGTTGTTCGTGCTCAACTCCCAGATAAACATTAGAGGCAGCATGCTCATATTGAAACAGTGTGCGCTGACAGAGTACTGTCGATAGATCGTTACAACACGGTAACTAGGTTTGGTCAGGTCAGCAACACACCGATAGTCTAGCCGTTAACACTGCACGCATGCGCCTCTGAAATGAAAAACAATCGAGAATAATGCCAAGTCAGTCATGGAAATTTATTTATTATCGGGCTAAGATGTTTGCTTTTGTGGTAGATGTTTACAATATCAGAAGTCAACAAGTAAAAGAAATCAACAAAAGGATAAAAATTAGAGCAGCTATACTAAAAAATAAAACTAAAACAACAGGTAATTACTTACGACTAGGTATAAATATCTACCACTACAATATAATACGTATCGTGGCCCGAGAATATACTAGTATCACTGTACCATTGCTGTGTTTACAAATACTTGGTGGCCTGTTCCAATATTCACTTTTAACCACCTCATGTGTGTTTTTTTATTTGATTATATAAATATCTAAGAAAATAATTATATTCTACAATAATCACTAAGAAGCCTTTGCTTTATAGGACCTTACAGTTCTTGTTTCAAGTTCTTCTTATCTTGAGCGTATCTTGTGCAAAACGTGAATACTGGAACCTATTTTCAGTTGTATTGCATAACAACTGTTCTTCAACATGTACTTAGCAATGGCATCAATATACCTCCTCTACGCCCCTGACATCTCTTAGACCTTGACAACACCCCGGTGGTACAGTGCGAGACACCACCGTCTTACTCATACATAGTCTCAGTACTCGCAACTGTGTCATTTCATCTTTTGTTTGATGCCCTTCATCATTCGGCGGGAATTATCACCACCATACTATTATATTATCACAAATGTACTTGATCGGTGGCACAAACATAAGATAGTAACTTCTGGGCAACTTACAGTGAATATTTCTTTCGAGTCTTTGCGTTGTTTCGGAAAGCGAATAGTGCTAGTATTTGACGTATAGTGCTAACTGCATTTTGTTTTCTTGTTCAGACATAAGCCCTACGCATTTTCAAGTTACAATTCGTTGACGGCTGTGGACACCCTAATAGACGTACAGGTACATGAAGCGAGCGGGTGGTGTAGAGTACTTACCGAGGCCGCGCGCTGCCACGTCGGTGGCGACGAGGATGCCTCCGGTGGACATACGGAACTGATTGAGCACATAGTCCCTGTCCTGCTGGTTCTTGTCGCCGTGAATGGCGAGTGCGCGCCAACCAGCGCGGTTGATTGCTTTCGTTATCTCATCGACCTTAACACAAATAAGCATGAACAAATTGTAAGGACACAATGACGTGTAGAAAATCTATTAGAAATCGTGGAAAATGTAATAATTGTGATCTTGTTTATAAAAATGGTTTTCAAAATTTCTAATCTAACTAACCTACTATGCAAGTCATAGGTACTAAGTGGTTGCAAGACTCACCCGTCTTTTGGTCTCAGCAAATATGATGGTCTTTGTCTCTTCTTCAGAGGATATCTCAGTGAGCAGTGTGACGAGTTTATCATTCTTCTCCCACTCCTCGCACACGTCCACAATCTGCAGGATGTTGTGGTTGGCAGACAGGCTGAGAGAACCAATGTTGATCTGGATGTAGTCATGCAGGAACTCCTCAGCTAGGTTCTGCACTTCTTTAGGCCAGGTAGCAGACCACATCAGAACCTGCAGCACAACAATAAACATCACAGACTCACATTCATGTTATGTTATGCTATTAGGGAGTATTTCTATATAAGTGTATTTTTGAATATTGTTAAAAATGTAAAACAGTTACGCCTTTAAATGTTTATATGACTCACCTGTCTGTCTGGTCGAATCTGCTCGATAATCTTACGAATTTGAGGCTCGAAACCCATGTCCAGCATCCGGTCGGCCTCGTCGAGCACCAGATACGTGCACCGACGGAGATTTGTAGTTTCTGTTTAATATAATTTCGTATTTAGACATGATTTGAAGTTATACTCTACACTTTTGATGCATTCTAAGGTGAATAAGAAATTATCTTTTTACCTCTCTCCAAGAAATCAATAAGTCGTCCTGGTGTCGCGATGACAATCTCAACTCCCCGCTCGAGGCACCGGCCCTGCGGTCCCTTGGGTGCACCTCCGAATATGCAAGTGTTGCGGACTTGTACGCTCTGGCCGAAATCATTGGCCACCTGCAAACAGGAAACTAGACTTTACCACACATTGATATTACTAGCGGTTAATTATTATTAAATATATAAATAAAAATTGTAAATTATTATTTGTATATGCAAGAGCAGATCTATTTATAAGATAATAGTCTTAGCCTTATTGGATTGTAAGGGACATAAAAATAAATTTATTTTTGTGTAGTTGTGGGTTGAAACGGCCCAGGCTTGGTGGTGGGTATAACCATCCACATCCATACTTGTATCATAATAATATTATAATTTACTAAATGACATTCTAAAAACAGAAACTGCATTCATTAAATATCAATAAAGACAGTGTATAGTCTACAATGAATTGAGGTCAGTTTGTATTGATTTTGATTCAATAGATGTTTCATGTATAGCTTTGAATGTTGTGATACCATTGTATTTAGTGAATAATATAACAAAAGCTTTATTCAATATCTTTCACTGAAGTCATAATTATATAAAATCTGCTTTTACATAAATATTCAATGAAAAACGTAAGCATGACATTAGAATATATAATAATTGAGATAAAATAAATGAAGTAACATTAGCCAAATAACATTCTACTGGACATGGTGATCAATTAAATTGAAACTAATGTTGAGTTGATATTATGTAATAGTCCCAGAGTATATTTGCTTTGTGTTCACCAGACAGTTGACCCCATCACATACAAAATATGAAAAATTAAATATGTGCAGGAGCAGGACCCACTATTTCTATTTCATACAAAACACTCCTGTGGCAAGCCTTCCATGTATAGTATCTCGTGTTCTACTATAACTAAATATTAATAAGTGGCATGGTGATGAAGCTAACTGCTTTCAGCATAATATTGAAACTACACAGTAAAGAAAGCATTCCACGGATAGCTGCAAGGACTAGAGAAAGAACAAAAACAATAGTGCCCAAACTAAAAATATATAAGGTTACGTTCAGAAACCTCACCTAGTAAAGACAAAATTTAAAATTTGACTTTCCAATTAGAAAAAACCAACGGACATGCCAATGTGTCATTAGGTTTTCGAACATAGCCTGCCTGCAATAAGCTAGTTCTACTAATTATAATTGGATAAATTTACTATTTCCAGTTCGCTCGGATTGTCCGTCATCTCCGCAGCGATTCCATTCATTGAGATCAACGCCTGGAGTAGCACAATGAAAAACAAATACTCGTCTTATATTTTTGTTGTTAAAATATTAGAATTAATAATATAAATTATACTGCTTCCTGAAGCTCACAAAATTATATGAACCTCAGGGAATCTTGTGTCCATCCAACAGCAGGCCAAAATATTTTGAGCATTGATTATAAGATAGGAAAGTAACATACCTGCTGAATCTGTTGAGCCAGTTCCCTGGTCGGAGCCAAAACCAAAACAATGGGCCCCTCGTCTCTCAGTAGGCGAGGCTGATTTATGATATGTACGATAGCAGGTAATATATAGGCCAAGGTTTTCCCAGAACCTGTTTGAGCAATTCCTACTAAATCTCTTCCAGACAATGCAATAGGCCAGCCTTGAGCTTGAATAGGGGTTGGGTGTGGAAAGCCTTGTTTCAATATTTCTTTCATAGCATAGTCTGGGAAGCCGCCCTCCTCAAAGTACATGCTCGGGGCGGGAACATCGCGTCCTTTCACAGTAATTTGGTTTTGGCTACGATATGATTCTATTTCCGCTTGACTGCGCGACTGGACGTTCTGATGAGGCACATAGAAGTTTTTCTGGAATGGAGTTAGCGTAATTGTATCCCAGCGAATTTTCCTGAGGTTACCCCCAGGTTGGTCATTTTTATTAAAATTTCCGCGGAAATCATCTCGGCCGCCACGTCCTCCAAAGCCTCGACTGCTATCTCGTCCTCCACGGCCGCTATCCCTGCCACGGCTGCTGCTACCGAAGCGACTGCTTCCTCTCTCCTGGGACCGATCACTCGATCGTCCTCCTCGAGAACCACCTCTACCTCCACCGCGGCTTCCACGGCTACCTCCACGACCACCGCCACGACCGCCACGTCTATCGTCGTACCTAATACAAACAAAAAACAGTTATCAAAATCATCCAAATGAAGAGATTCGATTCTAACAAGATTTGTCAACTTACATTTTTGCTTAGAATAACGATGCCACACACAACAACAAAACTCTAATAAATACTGAACTTCTGAGCAATACACTTGAATTGTTAAGATTTACGCGTTTGATTGTTGTAGTTAATATTTTGTTTATAATTCTATATCTATACTAGCGTACGTAACAAAATATTGGCCGACTTTTTATTGCTGATGCTAATGCCACCTAATGTCAGCCATATTTGATTTGATTTTACTGAATGGAACGTCATTGGTACGTTTTGACAATCTGTTTCCGTTAAAGATTTGTGCAAAAGCACCTTTTACATTATTTTAGAAGATTAATTTTAAATTACTAACTTTAATTATATTTTTACCTCAACAAAATATAAAAAGATTAACACAAATGATGAATAGAAAATGTCATGATGATTTATTAGGGTTTGTATAATATACTACACAGTTGGCTACTTCCGGTACCGTAAGTTCACGAATTTTAAATTATAGTTTTTTTTTATTAGTAAAAATAGTAGAAGCACCCGAATTTACTTGCAATGCTTACATTGATTGAACGTTTACATTCTAAAAGGTTTTGTAACTTTATTTTAATTTCTAATCTTAGTATGTATTTAAGTACGTACATATTATATTCTACGTCCTTGGAAGAATTTCTCATTATTTACCAACCTATTATTATTTATCAAAGACCCAATTATGCGTAATTATGCTCAGAAATATTTCAATTACTTACCTACTTTTTATAATAGTTAACTGTATCGATAGATAGATAGTCTATTCTCTGGTTACTTCATCATTATTGATCAAACAGTTCGACATTTTCCAACCTCGGTAGCTGGATAGTGTTTATCTTAAAGTTTGGATTTTATTTCTAAGAACATGGACGCTTCTGTACCTGTATTCGAGAAGCCTCATCGTCAATTAACCGTTTTAGATTGGACGAGAAATATACAGAGACTTCAAAATGAAGCCAGACTCCGTAGATTTGAGTCTTACGAACTTAGGCAGAGAGCAAATCAACTAAGGAATGAGACTTCGGTCACAACAAGATGGGATAACTATTGTAACAATGAACTAATGAGAGATAGGTAAGACAAGTAATCTAAGAAGGCTAAGTTAAGCTAAAAGTGATTCGAACTTACCTTTTTACCATTTTTCATGCCTTTTTAGTCTCCTCACGGACCACAGCCCACAGCATTGAGCATGTAAGACGAATTCATTTTATTATTGCGATACCAGTAAAATATTCAGTTTAATTACAGGATCTTCGAAGTTCAAGCTTGGAGAGAAAAGCAGAGGTTCACAAGAGATTGCGTTAAAGACGAAATCAGGGCGTTAAAAGAAGAGAAACACGCTACAGAACTGCATTTAGAGTCTCTACAAGTACCGCTGATGGTGATATCGCAGTGCCTGTCTAATAGAGATCAGAGAGTCCCACCAGAACTCACTAGAGACCAACTTGGGGAGGAACTAAAAAAGGTAAAGTGCTGAAGAAGTGTAGCGGTAAAACTTACATACATCCTTATAAATCTCACCGATATTTATCCAGGAGCTGCATATCACGGAGAATAGCAAGCGTGTGCTGATGGACGTCTGTCACATGGGCTGGGAGAAAATCAAGGAGTTGACCAACGTACTGTGTCGCCTGGAGCGCGAGATCAAGAATAAGGATGAAACCCTCGACTTGGAGTACCACGTCAAAGACCTCACTCGAGACAGCACCGATATCAGCTTCAAATTGGATCCTACTAGAGTACCCACTGAGTAAGTAGTCTGCATAACCCTCCAAAGTCAGTGCTTAAAGTGTAGTGCTTGTGTAAAATACCTAGGCAGACCATATTGTACCTACCTATTATAATTTCATGCTCACAAGTTGATGAGCTACCAAGATTTTAGTGCTAATAATTGGAATTTATCGTTATTTATTTATTTATTTATGATTTACCAACATTTGTTTACACCAATACAATTGTCGAGATACAAATGTGAGTTCTTTACAGTAAGTGTAACAAATACTTATAGGTAAATACAGCATTTACAAAATTATTATCTTACATCTAAAACAAACTTGATATTAATTTTTAACAGGAAAAAAAAAATATTCGGTGCTACTGTGTACCAACTAAAGCAAAACACAAGTGTACCACACAAAACACCTGTATAGGTATATAAAAAACTAAGTATATAAAAACTAATTTTAAACACGAAAACAAGTAATAAAAGGAACAATAAAAAAAAAAACAAAAAACAGTAAATTTTTCTCATGCGTGTGGTAACGACTTTTATACACTCGTAGATTTAGACACCATCAGTCAACTCTTTGTTGATAAGTGCTTCAACAGCGCAGACCGGAACCCAACCAACGATGACGTGTGAATATCTACTAAGTCACTGCAGTCGTTCAGCAATCTACTCAGCCTTGGTAATGGAGAATTAGCGCCCAAGACAGTCCTGCGACGAGGTGGATACAGAAGCGCGATACGGTTACGCGGGTATTTGGCAGGCACTCGGTATTTGACTTTTTTCAGAAGGGTTGGGCAATCTATTATGTTATTTATTAATTTATACATGAATAAGCAGTCAGTGATTTCCCTACGACTGCTTAGTGATATCATTCGATGTAATGTTAATTTACTTTTGTACGATATTGTTTTTTTACTATTTTTAGCCAAATGCCACATAAATCGCTTCTGTATTCTTTCCAGTCTAAGTGAGTGTGTAGCAAAATGAGGCCTCCACACAACACTACAGTAATCCAAAATACTGCGTACAAGGCTGTTAAACAATAATATTTTTGGACGACTACTGCGAAATACCTTTGTATTTCGCAGAATAAATCCCAACATTCTGGAAGCTTTGCCTATTATCATCTCTAAATGGGGTTGAAATGTCATTTTTTTATCGAAAACCACGCCTAAGTCCCTTATTTGATCCACTTCCCGGATCTTTTGCTGATCTATATGGTAGCCTGAGTCTATAGGGTGTGTTTTCCTGGTGAATTTAATGTGAAAACATCGTTGCTTCATTTCTGCTCCTCCTACTATCCAGTTTGGTATCCACTGATACAGTCAGCAATTTTTTTTAAATGACACTTCGCAGAGCTTTCTTGTGTAATCTGCTTAACCGGACTAAATCCTAGCTCCTTAGTTATATTAATCTGCGATTCAGTTCAAATAAACCTGATCTTTTTCGGTTTCCCAGATCAATGACAGAAGAAAGTTACGCGCACTGCATACAAAATACTATAAAGATAGCTGAGCAGCTGATGGCGGAATCTAAGGACCTTCGGGCGACGATGTTCAAGAGTCGAGAGCAAGCTAGGAATCAGATGTACGCGCAGAGCCAGCAAGTCGAGCTGATCATGCGGAGGAGGGTATACGATATACAGAGGGCCAGGAATGAGATGGAGTGGCAGAAGTATAAGGTAAGTACCTACTTAATTAATTAATAACGATGTTACTGTAAGTAACTAATAAAAAACCAAGAGTAACTTTTCCTTACGATATTTATGATAGGTCATTTATTATTTTTACAGTTGGAACAGAATCTACAAAAAGTAGACAGGGAGATAGAGACACTGCGAGCGGCGGTGGCAGATAAAATAAACCCGACCAAGTTAGTGGAGACGAGGCTGGAAACCAGGACGAGACGGCCGGTACTTGAGCGAGTACAGGACAAACCCATGCGCGGCCTGATTGAAGAGTTTGAGAGAGTACACACCAGTCATAATATGCTGGAGAAGAAACTTGAAGAAGCTATGTAAGTATACATCACTTTAAATTACCTGACTTTTTCTTTCTGATATTTCAAAATTATCAGTTATAGCAACCCCAAAATGATGATGTGACATTTTCATGCCCATTTTGCTGAATAATTTAGGTATCAACAGTCGCCTTCAAATGCAATAAAAACAAAAGAAAGTGGTTCTCAATATGTTGGAATATTTTATTAATTTTATTTTACAGCACAACTTACCACGGCATGTACAACCACCATCAACGGGTAACGAAAGACCTTCAATACAAGAACCAAGCTTTGGAGACGGACAGGCGGCTCATTGAGATCAGGAAACCTCTCCACTCTTCTGATGAAACAGAGTTTAAGAGAAACGTCGGCTACTGTCACATGAGCGACGAATTAGTTACTGATTAACGGCAACACTGAAAAATATTAATGCTGTTGTTGGTGTTGCCAGGAATTCGAAATTATATTTAAATTTATATTTTATAGTTTGCTCTACAAAATGTTTATTTATAAATGTAGTCAGCACCTTTCAAGGCTTTTGCACCATTAGGTAAATATGCAACGCAAGAATATGACAAAAATAGCTAGATTTGTAGAGCAATAGCTGTTCAAAACTATTTTTTTTAAATGTAATTTAAAATATTAAACGTTATATGTACTTTATATTAGGTTTAAGGAAATCAAAGACTGTCACCATCAGCGGTCGTGTTCACTATAAATAAGTAAAATACACATTTAAAAAATGCTCATATTTATTCATGTAATAACATAACAAGAACTGTGCTGAACTTTAATATTAATTTTATATTATAATAATAAATTATTACAAATATAAGCCACGTCATGATCTTTGTGACAATACACCTTGTAACATAACAAGCATTTGATGTAAAAACACACATTTATTTAATTAATTATTTATGTTATTATATTCATAAGTTTATCACACTTGCATTGCTCAAAAGGTGGGCAGTAGTGACTTGTAGGACAGCCTCTCTTTTCAGTCATCAGAGTTGGAATAGATTCCATTATACATGTAACTCTGGTGACCAACCGGGCAGTTTGTAATAAATAATAATATAACAAGTATGTACTATATATTGTCTAAACACGTAACAATATAATACTCAGCGTGGAATGTGTGTTCAAACTATTCAACATTTTTACATCAAATGAGATTCAAGGCACTGAAAATAGTGAGTCAATTCCATGTATTCGATAGGAAAAATTCGATAAACTTTTAATGGTAATTTAATCAATAATTAATCGATAACGGAAATTTATCATTCGATTCACCATGTACACGCTTAGAGCTGCAATTATGAGTAGGATTAATATTGCTAGTATTATGATGAACTGGTCACGGATGCACATTGCGTGAGGCAGTGATAGAACCATATATATTTTGAAATTATGTAAAAGATTTATCATTTAATATGTTTTTGTTTTCATTGTAAACATATTGTCAGTTATTACGAACAGCGCTAAACCATCGCGATTTTATTGTCATTTTCCTCACACAGGATCTTTAGTAATCAGTATCAATCTAACATTTGACTTTCAATTTATTCCACTCCTGTTCAAATACACGAATTGACCACACAATACACATTGTTCTTACTTTACATAATACTAAATGAAGGAAATATAACGAAGTAGTTACGTTTGAAGAAATGCAGTAAATATTAAGTATAATATAAACACTACTGATGCTATGAAAAATGAGGTTTTACATGTAATACTTAAGTTATTTTGTATCTACATACATGCAGGTAGAGAATAGATAAATAAAACTACTAGGCCAGTTATAGATCGTTTTGTAACAAAAGGCATTTTTATATGGAATACAACCATTCACTATGATATATATTTAACCTAGTGTCTATTGCAATTATTTAAATGCATGTAGATACTACCTAAGTGATATTTTAAGTGTAGAATACAATAGGAGGTACCTATACTTAATGGAAAGTGTTCGTAATTACCAAAAAGTCTAGACTTAAATTATATATACTTAGTTAGCTAAGATCTTTTTGGTACAGCGATGTATAGATGATATTGTCACTGATGACTCGATTAAAAAAAATCGTTAGCTAGAGTGTGAATTTCAGTTACCTGGTTTTATCTTGATAATTTAATATTAAAATGGGAAACTTTATCCAAGTTATGATATAATAGCATCTGTAATGTACATTAATATATTCATGCACTAAGGTATGTCTAGATGAGATTGTCAAAGTCACTAAAAATATTATTTCACGATTAACTTTTTTGTGGTAGATAAACACTAACTTTTAAACCGGAGAATTTTATCAACTGGTATCATTATGCACGCACACAATCATATAACTTAGTAAAATACAGTTATAGCTCACAGAAGCACGACAAATGCTCATTGATTAAGATCGCCACAAAATCGTGCGATACTTTTTGAATTAATTTCACAATTTGACAATCCTTATAGTCATAAAATGTAACGTAATTGGACTTGTATCCAATGTAGAACACTTTAAGGTTTAAGTTTCCTTGCCGTGGCCTTCAAGCAAATATTATAAGTTAAAGTTCTTATTATAAAAACCAGTATGACGCATAATATTAATGCTATGAATCTAACAACAATTAATATTTGGAATTTAAACTCACAATACTCGTGTATTAGTTTTAACAATGTACAAGGACGTTAGAAAAAAGCGGATATAGTCTCTTGAAACAACGACTGTGGCACCTGGCTACTCTAGACTTACGCGTAGAATACACACACATTGACACGAAGGACCTCTGTCGCGTGACATGGCGCTTTAATACACTTCATACATTACGGTGTTGCAAGTACACGGCACACGCACACATAAATACACCAATGACATTTTGGTGCTTCAATCATTTCTAAGTGACATTACGTTCGCTTTCTTTTGGTTATGAACTCAACTATAATAAGTTATAAAATAAATGTATTATTCCTTTACGTAATTTTATTTTTTGATAAGCTTCATTGGATAATCATTACACTAAAATTCGAAGTTTAAAATAAAAATGTTATAAAAATAAATTCTCTAAGTAAGTAGCCAATCCTTGCTTCTGTTATCAGTGTTGCCCTAAATAAAATAAATTAAAAATATTTAAGGTTTTTCTTACTGGAGACCTAATAAAATATAAAGTAGAATCTGTTCCATGAACACAGTAGATATAAAACAAATATAATTTCATTGATAGTGCTATTGCATTGTTACTTAGCATTAAATAACTACCAACTTAAACTTATAATATTAATAATGTAGTTCTTACCTATATTCGCTCCTTAAATGCAGTGAAAAATATTATTCTGATGTGTGTAACAACTTTCTATTAATGCTTACACATTTACACAAAAAAACAATTACTCTTACAACAAAAAGATAGAAAAAAGAAACAAAAAAATTGTACTTCCCGCCTAAATTGCCATAGACTATAAAGTTGAGGCAATGATATTGCTCTACACAGGCTGTAGTTCAGGTTTGGGACCTACTTTCTCGTAGGCCTCATCTAGTAACGAACATACTAAGCTGATGGTATCATCTGTAAGTTTTCTGCTGCTAGTTAAACGGATGGAAGGTTCTGGACAATTGATTTCTACATCACGGATGTACGCGGCTAGTGTCATGGCGACACCTTTTTCTAGGCAGTAGTTGGTAATATTACGAAGGTAGGAGTGTTTCAGTCTGTCTGTTAAGTCGTCCTTCTTGAGGTATATGTGCTTTATTGGCGAGACCTCGTCACCTCGGAACTTGTAGTGCTTCAGCTTGGAGAGGGCGCTGAAAAGAAAAAAATATATAAATAAACTGCTGAATTCATTGTAGTAGAGGTACTTAGGTACTGTGAATTGCAATGCACAAAATGATAACTATTAATCAGCTTGTTTGTATGAGAGACCAGATGCATAATAAATCATACAAGAGCAGAGCTGTATTATCCTTAAGACAAATATCAAGATAAATATATCTTATAGCACCAATAGGTGCGCCTAGGGTTGCCAACTTTTTTTAGAAGAAATAGAGTATGTCTGATTTTAAAGGGCGAAAATAAAGAGTTCGGACTTACAAAAAAGAGTATCATTTATTTGATATTTTTAAAAAGGTATTTTTGTACTTTGTGCGGCGCATAACAATTTTTTATTTTTTTAATTCCCACTTCACATTCATAACCTAAAAGACTCTTTCAGTAAATGCTACTGATGTGCTACTGCTGCTGTGTTTGGAGAATGGGCGATACCAACATAATAATAATAATAATAAACTGGCAACACCACGACGTTGACATAACGTACAAAATTTTACTCTGTTTTTATTTCGGTTTATTTTTATAAATAATTCACGTTTCCTTATACCCAATATAACAATAACAAAACCTTTTTATAATAATATATACTTACTACAAAATCAACACCGACAATAGCAATAAACAAACAATAAATGAAGAAAAATGAAATTTGACAGTGACAGACTACAAAAGGAAGATGATAAAATAGAAAATTAAAATGCTACGTTGATGTTGACGAGAGCCAGGAAAAGACGTGACGCACCCCCACCACCTCCGGACTCGTCGCTCAGCTCCGCCTCGCCGTCGCCGGACCCCAGCCCCGCAGGATCACCGGTGACAGCAGTTGCGTCGAGCTCGAGCGATGACTATTTGTCCCCGCCGACGTCGCCGACACCTGTACGTCGGCCGGGGAGAGGCCGGCCACCGACGGGCTTGGGAGCCAGGGGCCAACAGGCCCCGGGACGGGTCCCCGCTACCGGTGGTTGTGTGCGGCGCATGAAATGGTCTCAAACCATAAATGAGAACGTCATGCGCTCGTACTACGGTGCTACAGAGGGAGGGACTAACCTCACTGCGTACCGTGAAAGGATGCTTTCTGTATTTCAGGTTCTTGAGCCATCTATCAACGTCTCGGCCCAACGACTGTCGGATCAGGTGCGGGTCATCCAACGCAATCGCAGATTGGATGAGGCTGCGCTTGATCGGCTACGCCTAGAAGCACTGCGCAATCGTGTCGTCCCCGCACCACCACAATCGGTGGCACAAACACCTGTAGTCTCACAATGTGTGACGCCAACCACCCCTATCGTTGGTGTGGAGGATGACAGGGTTGAACAAGTGAGTACTCAGTGCAATGAACGACTGAGGAGTGCTTTGGAGGATGCGGTTCGTGAGTATAGACTTGCTCCTAGTAATTTAAGACCTAAATTACCACGTTTGCCCATGTGTAAAAAAAATAGGGCGCTGGTGAGTGCCTTGGATTCGCTACTTAAAAAATATTTTGAGAGTAGCGAAAACCTCTATGATACACACTCAATCTTGTACTGTGGGGCGGTAGCTGCTTGTCGAGTGGCTAACGTCAGATTCCCAAATCTTGACGCAGCAGTCCGACCAAAACCAGCAGTACCTGCCTGGCAGTATAGGATAGAGCGTCGTATCAGTGAGGCCAGGGTACTCATTGGCAAACTATCCTGTTTCAGGGAGGGCAATACTCGCCCTAGAGTGATGCGCTTTGTAAGACGTGCATTTGTGGGGACTGAAACCAGTCCTCATGAATACCTGTCACGTGTTACAGAGCGCATCGACTTCCTGAAGCAGAAAGTTTATGCATGGGCAAACCGTATTAGACGTTACAAAAAAAGAGTGGAGCGCTATACTCAGAATCGCATGTTCCAAAGAGATCAGAGGTGGGTATACAGAGATTGGGAACGATCCAACCAAGATGTGGCTGACGGGCGGCGACCGGATGATGATGCCACTAACACATTTTGGCGCAACATCTGGTCGGTACCTGTTAGCCACACAGAAGGTGACTGGATGTGTGATGTTAAGCGAAGGTGTGAGACTATACCAGAGATGGAGGAGGTAGAAATTACCTCCTCTGATGTAGCCAGTGCAGCCTGTTCGGTTCCGAATTGGAAATCACCGGGGCCGGACGGACTGCACAATTTCTGGATTAAATGGTTCAAGAGTTCACACGTTCGCTTAGCATTACACTTCCAGGCAGCTTTGGAAACTGGGTCGTTACCACAATTTCTAACAACAGGAGTTACCCACCTGCTCCATAAATCAGGTAGTTCCACTGAGCCCAAAAATTATAGACCAATCACATGTTTACCAACGGTCTATAAACTTCTTACATCCATTTTGAGGACAAAAATAACAAAACATATTGAACAAAATACCATCATGTCTGTTCGGTGTAAACCCGAACACCTGCTTGCGAAGCAGTTTTCATGTATTGTCCTAACATGAACATACGACACGTTAGTGTACTTGTCGATCGCGAACAGAACGGGTGCATTCATCATATAACAAAACATTAACATTTCTAACATTTTTTTTAACATTAAACATTAACATTAAGAAAGTGCTTTGAACTCCATTTGAACAATAAACTTTTACGGTCACTTATGCGTTTGATATCTACCTACGACCTTACACCCCGTACATAATGGTCCTTCGAGCCGGATCTCTCGCGAGCCGAAAGTGAACGCGAGTGTGGTGTGAACTTTGTAAGTGCGTATTGTGAGGACTAAAGTGATGTCCAGCGCTGGTGCTCGTTCCTTGGCCATCGGAATCCTGACGGTGGTATAACAGCAAACAAGTAAGATCTTTCCATTATTAACTCTTGCTTTGGAAGACTTACGCAGTTAACTTAAAAACATGGCTGAGTTATACGATTCTCAATTAGCTCTCGCCATTAACATTTGAATATCTTAAAAGATGTTTAAATAATTTAGATGATTACTGGAAAGAATTCCAGTACAATCATGATCGCCTTACTACGGAAATAAGCTCGACGCATGCTTATTTTACAAAACAAGAATTTGAGAAGACTTTAAAATCGTATAAAGCTGTGAGAACATTAATCAATGAGATGCAACAACAGTTGCTGGAAGCTCCGTCTGGCAGTGGAGGTCACGAGCAGCCTACCGAGAGTATGTCGTTAGAAATGAAGTCGGAGACGGAGCAGTTATCAACAGAACAGCAGTCGAGAGAAGAACATAAAACAAAAGCATTTAGCTTAACAAATCGTCCCGCATGGCAGGTGAATCAAGGCACAAATAACAAATTAAACGATTTACTGCGTAAGCAGGCAGCTAATTTTAAAGCTTTTTCTAGAACTGTCTCAAACATTAATTTAGAGCATATTTCGGACAAATGGGAATTTGAAGATATTCTTAAAACATTGCAAACTAGGTGGTCTACAATAGATTCTCTTCACTGGGAAATTGATTCTGAATTAATTGATCAAAACGAAGAATACGAAGAAAGTTATTTATCTCACGAAAAGCAATTCAACACTTTAAAAAAGGCAATTAATACTAAAATGTGGTCTGTAGTTCATAGGGAGAAGTCTACCCCTAAACTAGAAATACCTACTTTTCACGGCAATTTCAACCAATGGATGTCCTTCAAAGATTTGTTTCAAGAAGCCATACACAATAATCCTGCGCTTTCGAATGCCCAAAAAATGCAATTTTTAAAGGGCAAGGTCAAAGGCGAAGCCGAACGGTTAATCCAACATTTATCTATAAGCTCGGATAATTATTCTGTATGTTGGGACATTCTGCAACACCGATACAACAATAAAAGGGCAATATTCTCTGCCCACTTAAATACAATCTTAAGCCTTCCTAACATGCAACAGCAATCATTGCCACAAATTAAGAAAATACATGATACAACATTAGAATGCCTTAATGCTATTCGTAATTTGGATATTGATATAAGTACGTGGGATCCGATGGTAGTCCACATCTTATCCCAAAAATTGGACTTTGATTCCTATTACGACTATATTGAGTCACTCAAAAATTCCCGAGAGCTACCGATTCTACAAGAATTTTTAGATTTCTTGGAAACTAAATTTATTAGTTTAGAATCAGTTCGTCGTAAACAAGATACCTCCCACCATAAGAGTGGTTTTAACATTTCGTCTCAATCATCAACAAACTTTAAGAAACATAACTTAAATCAAACATTAAACAAACATAATTATGAGAACCGCGAACATCAAACAAAATCGTTTCACGTGTCCAGGATCAAATGTCCACGTTGCAGCGGTGAACACGGATTGTACAATTGCAAAACTTTCCTAGAATTGCCTTGTGAACAAAAACTTGCAACGGCAAGGAAATTGCAAGTGTGCATAAATTGTTTGTTTAGCCATAATGGGAAACAATGCAATTCAATAAAACAATGTCGCAAATGTATGGCTCCTCATAATACATTATTACATGACGCTTTTATTAAGTCAACCTCTCAAGTTACTAAAAGTGATACGAACTGTGGGAAAGTATCGAATGCTTCCCAGGATGGTAACACGGAAATTTTGCTTGCAACAGCGCTTGTAAGCGTAATAGCGGCTGATGGTACTTACCATGTCATGCGAGCTCTTATCGATCAGGGCTCGCAAATCTCATTGATAACAGAAAGGGCTGCTCAGATGTTAAAAATTAAGCGTCAAAAATGTAAAGGTACCGTTCTCGGAGTGGGTGAAAAACAAAATACCTGCAAAGGAATGCTCAACATAACATGTAAATCAACTAACAGCGACTATAAGTTCTCAACACAAGTTCTAATTATGAACAATCTCCTCAAAAATCTCCCTAATCAAACATTTAACAAGCCCTCCTGGTCTTTTATTGAAAGCATACAATTGGCGGACCCTGAGTACTATATAAGTAAACCTGTGGACTTGCTACTTGGGGCCGAAGTCTATGCTAACATTCTCATGGAAGGTATAATTAAGGGATCTGACCCATCCCAA